TCCAACAATAAACCATCTTTTCAAGCAGCCTCCATGTCTCCAGTGTCTTCTTCCCACTTGGAGCTGAACCCAGAAGGACATCTCTTTTAACAAGTCCAACACAACTTAAGGGCTCATAGAGAGACTACAGTGCATCTGGAGTCTTTAAGAGACATTTTATTCTGAAGATATCCCTCAAGAGTAACAAGGAAAAGAATTTGTCAGCCTGGTTTCATGGTCAAATTGGGAGTGGAAGACAAGTTTAGCTGGCTCAGATGGGAAAAAAGTAGAACGGGTTATGTTCACAACGACCTGGAAGGACATAGTTGTTAAAAGCCGACCAAGAACCAGAAGGGGATCCATCAATTTTTAGATCCCATTAACTTATAGGAGCTGGTCCTATTTATGTAAACGCCTCATGACCATGTGCTGTGCAACACAAGCGGAACTCCACCTTCCTCGCTTCCCCTCCCACTAAGGAGATTGGGGGTGGGGGTAAAGGAAGAGAAAAACTGGAGGAGCTTCCTTAAACCTAGTTTCCTCCTCTTCTTCCTCCTCCTCCTCTCCCTCCCCCACCATTTCTCCTTCCTCCTCCCTCTTTATCATCCTCCTCCTCCTCCTGGCCGGAGCTTTTGTTTTTCTTCCCAACCTATTTCCCACACGTGATTGCCGTGTTTTTGCGCCGATCGCTCGGTGTGCCGCGTGCACCTATAAATGCTAATAACTTTGGCCCAGGAGAAAAGAAAGGCAGGAGCCAGAAGAGGGGAGGAAAGGAAGGGGAGAGGTGGGGGTGCATAACTCGGGCGCTCTATCCATGCAAGCGGCCGGGGGGGAGGCGGAAGACATGCCATGCAAGCCAAAAGTCCCCTTCTTGGCACGGCTGGCGCTCCCTCGCCTCGCCCCAGCTTGCTGCTAACCCTCCGCTCGCCGCCGGGGAGGTCGCGCCTGCCGCTCGAAGTCTCATTCTTGTCCGCTCCGAGGGAGGGACAGAGGGTGGACGGGCGGACGAGCAAGCTCCACAGACAATGGCGGCGGCAGCGGCGGCGGCTCCTCCTGCCGCCGCCGCCGCCACTACCAGCAGCCGCAGCAGCCCCGAGGGTGCCAGCAGTGGCGACGGCAGTACATTCCACCAGCAGCTGGAGCCCTGCTTAAGGAAGCAGCCGCCGCCGCGCATGGACCCGCGGCGGAGGCAGGCTGCGCTCTCCTTCCTAACGAATATCTCGCTGGACGGGCGGCCGGTGTTGCAGGGCGAGGAGGGCGGCGAAGAGAGCGACGACGGCGCGGCAGCCGCTGCAAATACGGCTTCTGCTGCAGCCTGCGGTATCAGCAGCAGCAACAGCACTCGGACTCGTCGGGGCAACCTGAGCGCTTTCCAGTCGCCCGCCCCGCAGCACTACGCAGCTTATGCCAGCGCCTGCGGTGGCAGCGGCAACGTCAAGCTCATGAGCCCCCTGGGAGCGGCTGGCCAGCCGCAGCAAGGCGAAGGCGACGAGCCGGAGGAGGACGAGGACGAAGATGCCTTCGCTAGCGTGCAGGTGCCCATCGTCGGCCCCGCCGCCGCCGCCGCCCTCCCGGCCTCCTCTGGGACCCCCTGTGCAAGGGGTCGCCTCAACTCTTTCACTCAGGGAATCCTGCCCGTGTCCTTCGCCAGAACCGCCCCACAAAACTATTGCTGCCTCGAGCAAGGCCCGGTGGGCGCCAGCGCTTTTGAGCTGCAGAGGTCCAGGTAAGTTGCATCCAGAAAGGCCTCCAATGGTTGTGGGTGTCTCCTTTTCTTCCAGAGGGAAAAAAAACCAGAAGGAAACAAACCAGGGTTTAAATCTTACCTTGAAGCTCTTTTGGTATCTAATGTCTGAGATTGAGTTTTGTATCACTCTGCACATGCCCAAAGGTATGCCTCTCTTCAAGAATATTTAAGGTTTTCCTGGGCTGGTAACATCAGGAGCAGGCTATAGTTAGTTCTCAATTTTGATCAGTTATATATTTATTGTTGCAATTTATGTGCCGCTTAATTCCAGGGTTTGAGGCGTCTCCAAATTGTTTCCACTTACTTTCCAATGTGTGTACACAGGTAGAGGAGTCAATGTTAACATATTGGTGAGAAGAAAATATTTTCTTCGTGTTCAGAGAAACTTCTGTACTTTGAGGCTCTTAATATTTAGCAAAAGGGATTTGAGCTGAACAATGAAAATGTGGTGGAAAGGGATCATGTGCAAATATCATGTAAGGGGAATTAGTTGTTATGCATTGACACAGTTGGCACTGATTTGATTTTTCCCCCAGTAGATCTCTGTAAGTTAAATCAGAAGTCTAATATACTATCCTTGTCCACAGGTGGACTCAGGAGCTAAAATGGGTAGGGCTTGGTTAGTAGGTGGATGAAAGATTTAAGAAATCTCAAGATTAAAAGACTAACTAAGGAGTTAAAACACCTTAGAAAAATGCACTGGCGTCCCACTTCTGTATTGTAACCAAAAGGATTGTTCATAAGTAAAATGAGCATGATGAATTTCATCAGTGTTTTGAAGGCAACTAACCATATCTCAGCACTAGTCTTGAAATCAGGACTTATGTCATTTTCTTATTGTCGAAGTTTGGGGCAATAATTTCTAAACCTGCTTTTTAGGTTAATGGAGAAGTCACTTTTTTTCAATTGCATTTCAACCTCTGAAATTACCACTTAGTACCACTCATCAACAGATGGGCACAATTGAACCCAAAATTTATGTTACTAAACAAGGCAGTTAAGTGAGTTGTGCCCCATTTCCCCANTGGTGTTCTTCCTACATACCTTAGTTAGCTGACTAGCAAAAAGTTCATCTACTTCCTCTGCTTGGTTGGGTGGCCTGTAGTATAGACCTATGGCAATGTCATTTCCCACCCAACCTTTAATATTGACCCAAATGCATTCAAGATAGTTCTCATCATTGTTGTGCTCTATTTATTGGATCTCGTGTTTGTTGTTACTTGTATTTGTAGAGGGAGAAAAAAGAGAAAAGGATACCTTAACAGAAATATTTGATCAGACAACTTATGAAGAATATAAATCCTATTTAGAAGATGACAATCTTCCAGAATGTGACTACAAGAATTCTTCTGAGGAAGAAGGAAAAGAAAAAAGCACTATACAAAGTATTTAACTTGTTATTATTATTAAAACATTATTTTAAAAAACTGACTGGTACTCAGAAAATATGTATTCGTTGTTACAAATGGTTATAAATCTAGTTTTCTGTAGTCATATTACTTCAGTTAAATTTATAATTATATCATATTCTTTCCAGTATTGTTTATGGCTTAATATATATCTTTTCAGGGGAAAGAGACAAGCAAAATAAAATGAAGCAGAAGGCTTTTGTGGAAACATATTTTAAAAGTGATGAAAGGTATTTACGGAATCAAGTTCCCTCAGAATATAAATATTAGTTACATTTTCCCCAGAGATGACAATATGGCAAAATCAAAGTTTAAGAATTTAATCCGCTTTGAAAATATGTCTAAAAATAATCAAATAAAAATATAAAATATTTTAAAGGATTATTTTGTAATTTCACACAAATAAAATACCTCTTTAAGAGATATTTTTAAGTTTGGAATTTCTCTTCCCCAAAGAATATATTTGGTTATCTGCCTATTTTTGGCTAATATAGGGAAGTCATTCTGATATCAATAGAATTTTAGTTACTGTAATGATTTCCTTTCCTTTTTCCTTTTCATTATTTTTGTTGTAGCAAAACAAACAAAGAAATAAATATAAAACTGGAAATATATTCAGGAATACTATAACTGCTAGACTGTTGTCATGATTCTGTATTGTGTATATTTATATTTAGGGACAAAAATCAAATTTTGACAGTAATAGACAACTTGTGCAATTTTTTAGAAATATACATCCTTGTTTTTCTCTGCTTACACTGCAGAACAAATCTTGTATTGGATTTTCCTCATATTGAAGTTGTGCGGAAAAAAGAAGAAAGAAGAAAATTACCTGGCCACTCTTGTAAAGAATGTGAAATAGTAAGTATATAGTGGGTCTTATGAGCACAATTGAGCTCAAATTTCCATTGTGAGCAAGACAGTTGTTAAGAGAGTTTTGCCTCATTTTACAAATTTCCTTGTCACAGTTAAGTGAATCACTACAGTTGTTAAATTAATAACACACTTGTTAAGTGAGTCTGGCTCCCTCTTTCACTTTGCTTGTCTGAAGGTTGCAAAAGGTGATCATATGGCCCTGGGATACTGCAACCATCATAAATATATGCTAGTACTGTGTTAGTTCTTAGTCATTTTTTTTGAAAATAATGTAGATAAAACTGACTTGTGACTAGAGGAAGGTAGCCAAAAATGATGAGGGATTAAAATACCATGTCCTATGGAGACTTATGGAATAACCCAAAGCACGTATTCCCGTAGAGAGAAATTCCCTGAAAATGGGCTCAAGCATGAGTCTGAAAACTCAGAAGAGTAAAACTCTGGTCCTGGTGACTAACTGATATTAGACTTTGCAAAAATAAGTATATTAACATTGATTTATAATCCATCATCCCCCCCCCCCCTAGAATGGGTTTGCGTGTCAAATCAAATATCAATGAGCCACGTTATGCATTATATAACATGGGAACAGTTAAGGGACTAATATGATAACTATCCCCCAAAAATTATGTGTATGTTAGCAAACAGCCTGTGTGAATAAACCACCAACAATGTTCCAATGGAATTTTTGCCCACTTTTAGAAACATTTACCATGGAAAATTGTGCGTATTCCTAATCACAGAAGATCCCTCAACATTCTCTTCTGATTTCTAGCACAACTGCTATAGTTCCCTTGTTTTCACTTAAGAAGTACTCCTTATACTCCTTGCGGACTTTCGGAATTAGGATTATTAAAAGCGACTGTTCATATAATTATACCATTTTATTATTGGGAGAACATTATATATGAAAAAAATGTATATATTGCTATTGTCATTTGAGTATATTTGTTTCTATGACTGCCTTAAATAATAAGGGGTAAATTCCATATATGAGTACCTGAAATTTATTTATTAATATTCTGTACAACTTGTTTTGAGGTTATATATCAGTGTTATACTATACCATGTCTTTCAAAAAATCAGTAATAATTCATTTTTAAATGCTTATTTCAGCCATCTTTTAAAATCCTTATCAATATTTTTCTGAAATGGAATCTTTAAAATAAGAAACTTAATTTAGCAAATGTGATTGTTGCTAGTGTTTTCTGTTTAATGTACATTATAGCCCATGTTGAAGCTTAATTCTATTCTCTAAAACATGCAGCATCTGGATTCTTGAATGAAGAAAGAAACAGAACATAAAAGCAACTTTGTGGGTTTGGGGATTGGTTTTTCTTTGCCAAGGTTTGTGTGTGAACAGGTTTAATTTCCTGTCCCTGCACAGATAAGGTTTCTCCTCTCCAGGAACTTGATTCTTGTTACATTTTGGCAAGTGATTGTTAGTGCCTAACTGTATTGAAAACAAGAACTTTTCCCACTAGTTCAAATATGTTAAAAATATGGGCAAATCATTTAAAGCATTTATTTAAAAAGTTTGTTCGGTATAAACAATCTAAAATTAAATTTTTCATAGATGTATGTTGTAATGTCAGCATGTAATGATACCAAAGTGATAGTGTGAGAGGCAGAAGACTTCTAAATCAAAATAAACAAGGCAGGAGAAGTTATGCTTAATTGACTTTTGTCTGGATTAACACTTTTTTTAAGTGTTGTTTTCACAGCTTTAGAAAGAAGAAGAGATATTCTACAATATACCAATAAGAATATAAGTATTGTACAGGAAAGTTTCCATTGCTTGAAGATTGCTAATTTAGAAAAAACTTTAACCCCAAAGTGTAGGATTCATTTGTACCTAAAACTATAATAAGCAAACAGTACAAATCAGAGTTTCAGAAATACACTGATGCATGTTAAATATTGTTGGGTATCCATGTTTTTATAGCTAAAATATTCTCCTTCATTTGTTACTTATTTCTAATTATTGTATCTTAGTATTATGCAGGTTTGCCAGAAGAAGAGAGAGAAAAAAAACTAGCTACCTGTTCTAGACATCGATCTCGTTATATTCCTCCTGAAACACCAGAAAATTTCTGGGAAGTTGGATTCCCTTCCACACAAATGTGTGTTGAAAGAGGTAATTATATAAAGCGATACTATACAAAAATGGAAGAATGAGTTTAGTTTCCAGAAGGTAATGCAAGACTCTGAATAGAAACAACAAAGGGTGGTTGCTTCTCAGTTTCTTGGTCATAGAAATGGGTTAACTGAATTCCTCCTATAGATAGAAAGCATCTATCTATTGCAAGACAACCTCCCAATTTTAATCTTTAGTTCTGACCTTTAGGAAGGACCAGTGCATATCCATCAACTCCATTTTAAGGGCCTATTAAAAATGTGACAAAAAGACAACCAGAGGTAGCAAAACAGCATTCAATGAAATGCAATTCCTTAAATAATATCCCTACTAAGTAATATACAAAGCAAATGCCATCTGTAAATCAAAGAGATTGGGAGAAAGCAATAAATTTTGGGTGAATAATCCATGAATACAAAGACTTTTCTCAGAATATTTTGTCAAACAGAGAAGCCAACAGCTCCATGACAGATTAGGAGACCACATGAAATCCTCAACTCCATGACAAATGAGGTCCCAGGTAGCATCAGTTCCAGTGACTGACAGTCAATAGCTAT